AAAAACTTCCTTCCCTCGAGGAGTTTAGCTACTAATGGGGGATACAGCATGAAAATAAATGTGTGTGTGTACAGGATACATACAGTGTAATGGTGTTAAACAAAGGGAAGGCAACCTTAGAGAGAAGGGGAAATGTGGCACACACAAGGAAGGGGGACAGCTGGGAAAGGCTTCTCACAAAAGATGGACTTTGAGCTGGGTCTTTAAGGAAGTCAGAGAAGCTAGAAGGCGGAGGTGAGCAGGGACAGCATTCCAGGTATAGAGGGACAGCCAGTGCAAATGCATGGAACAGGGAAAATAGCCAGCTTTCCATTCTATGAGCAGATTTTCCATTTTCCTGATACTCAAAGAAATTCCAGTGTGTATAGAAAAAAAAACCTACTCCAAAGATCCTTGAAAACAACTTTATCTATCGCTTCCTATGATTGTGTTCATAAGTAACACTAGTCCTACAAACAGGAAAGAACTCCCACCCTCCTGACACCCACTCTTCCTGACACCCCAAAGCCCAGAAGCCACTATTGAAATCTTTCTCTGCAGACACAACAGCACACGGGGAGACATGGCTTTCCCATCAAAACAGCTCAAGACTTTTCAGGAGAAACTTCCAAGTTTCTTAAGGACTCTCTAAATAAAAAGCAAACCCAATCAAAGTCAATCCCGTTCAATTCAACAACTATTTAATAGGCACCTACTGTGTGTAAAAGAGCAGTGGATCAGGCACTGGGTCTGAAAATCAGGAAACCATAAGTTCAAAGCCAGCCTCAGACAGTTCTCAGCTGTGCGACCCTGGACAAATCACATAACCTCGGTCTGCCTCAGTTTCCCTATCTACAGAGAAGTTATTAACAGCACCTACCTCTCAGGGTTGCAGTGAGGATTAAGTGAGATAAAATCTATAAAGAGCTTAGCAGAGTGCCAGGCAGATAAGTAGGTGCTACATAAATGCTTCTCCCTCCACCCACCTACCCCACCCAACACGACCCACAACCATCAAAGGCAACGTCAGGATATAAAGTTTCCAGAGGTATTAAACTAACTTTTAATAAACTTCAATTGGAAATTAAACAACTCAATGTAATGCAAGGTAAAGGTTTTTTTGCTTGAAAATTTAATATCTACTAGAACAGAACCTTTAAAATATATAGTATTTCCTGTAGGAAACAAAGAGCCATTAATGATAGCTAAAGCTTCCCTTCTCTGCCCCCCTCCCCACCATTTCTATCCCTTTCCTTGGGAAATAATGGAGTAATAACTTAGAACTGATACCTGAAAATAGATAACCTTGTCTAACCTCGTTTGGGGCAAAGGAGTAAACAGTCAAAAGAGTCGGATTCTCAATTTCACTGTCAATTGCCAAAGGACCCTGGGCAAGTCACTGTGATTCTAGGTTTACTCCCTTAAAAATGGGAATGCCAACTGCCCTGCCTCTGCCACAGGGTGTTTTGAGAACCAAATGCGACTCTATCTCTAAAAGCATTATTGCTATTTCTACTACTTACCAACAACTACCCCTAGGCCCAGCATGAATCTTCAGGTCAGTGACGAATTTCAACATGCCAACATCATGTTTTCAAATTTTGGTAGCAAAGCCACAAAACTGAGATAAAGCAGACAGACCTAAATAGGCATTTAAACTAAAAATGAAGCAGCCACATGGAGGACACAAAAGGGCACTGAGGAAAAGCTGGAAACATGACTTGAGTACCTCTGTCCCTTATTTATAAAGAAATGTCTGTTTGAGACACTCAGTCTTGTCCTAAAAAGAAAGCAAGCCAGAGTAGGTTCCTATATGTATTTGAGAAAAAACATGAAAGGTATGAAAGTAAATAGTAGTGCAAAGGCCTCTTTTTGCAATACTTGGAGGTAATTACTAAAATGACTCTGATAGACAGATGCAAAGTACTGAGTTTTTCTCCCATAAAGGGAATTGAAGCAATAATTTTCCAACCCCAAAATATTACAAAAACATTATGTGCATTTTGTAGAATTTTAGTTCCTATTTAATGCTTGTAATATTCCATGAAGCTGCAGCATTACAAAGTGGACAGAACAATAAATTTGGCAACACAGCACCTCAGTGCAAAGCCTTGCTCAGTCGCCTACTAGCTATGTGACCTTGGGCAAATCTTTTCCCCTCTCTGGGCCTCATTTTCTCATCTGTAAAATGAGGTGGCTGGACTACAATGATCTTCCAGGTCCTTCCCAGCTCTAACATCTACTCTCATGTTTAATCTGGGGCATACAAGTGACCTTGGGATCGTGAGGTTGAATCACCTGTAACTTTCAGGACCAAAGCCCCTTCCTAGCCACTAGCCCTCTATGAGTACTGTTTCCCCCATTAGAAGAGAACTTTCTTGAGGACAGGGGCTGTCATTACTTTCGCATTTGTATCCTTAGTGCTCAGCCAATGCTCAGCAAGTAAATAAGTGCTTAACAAATGATTTTTCATTCATTGAAGGTTATATGTCAGCAGAAAATGCACTCACCTATTTGGAAGACTTCATATACAGATACTTCAATAGACTGTACATCTGTCATCCAAGGACCAATCTAATTAATGTTTGTAGAGACTCATCACTAAGGGTAAAGTCACCAAGTAATGAATGTTTTTGGCCACTGAAACTCATAAATACCATTTATTGAGGCAGAGAAGAGTCACAATCTAGACCCTTTCCTCTTTGAAATCCTTTAAATAAATAATTTTGGTTTAAAAAAAACCCTGAAGCTTATTTTATTTTCAAAACTGCCTTTCACTTGGGCCTCACAATTAATGTCCAAACTTCTGGTGTACAGTAGGAGTTTAAAATAGAACTACTGCAGAGACTCTGGATTAGTCTCTATATAAAGCAAGCTGCATGATGGGATAAGGAAAAACTATGATTCTGAGTCACAGTCTTTACAAACATTAACAAAGGTCTCTCTCTAGGTCAACCCTACGTATTTGTTTGTCAAGATAAACAGGACCATCACTAGGTTAAGGAGACTGAATAATTTAGATCAAACACCAGAAAAAACAGAGAGCAGAACAGGTAGAAACCTCTTGGTCTAGGACTTTAGCAGTAACCTAGCCTATTAAAGTTTTGACAGCTCAAGCACTAGGCAAAGTCATCACCCGAGAATAAGGGCTGGTTCAATGCCAGAGCAAGGCACATCTCTCTTATTTTTTTCATTTTTTTTTTTAAGCTTTGACTGTGAGTTGGGCTAAAGAAGACTGCAAAGAAAGATTATCTGAGGAGATCAGGGACTCCTGCTGAAGTGGAAAAACCACACCAGCAAAACTAGGGAGTCAGATGAAAGAAACACTTAAAGATTAACGAGACGAAGTTAACTCTTCCAAGGGGGAGGAGGAGGGGGCGGGGGGGAGGGGAGACTGTGACTGAAGAAGCCAAAGTAGGTGGGAAGGAGGACGCCCGTCCCCGGCAGGGTTCCCCGAGGGGCACCCCTCCATGCCCGGGTCTCCCCACCACCTTCGTCCCTTCTTCGAAGGCTCTGAGCTCCTCGAGCGTAGGCAATGTTTGGGTTTTGCCTTTCCGGGTATCCCAGCACACAGTACGTGTTTAATAGATGCTACCTGACAGCCCGATTTCCTGACCCCTCACCCAGAGGTCACGGGTGCCGGGTCATGCCCTGCCCCCGGCTCCCCGCAGAAAGGGCGCTCCCGCCCCTTCCCTTCCCCTCCCCCCGAGCTTCCCAAAGTGGGTGTATGGACAACCCCTCCTCAGAGGCCGGAACCACCGTCCCAGGCCCCTCCCACAGGAAGCCGCCTCCCCCCCTCCTCAAAAGCCGGCCGTCGGCCTCGGCCCGGGCTATCCCGGGCTGCCCGACCCTCCCAGGGTCCGCCCGCCAGGCCCGCCGGTCTGAGAGACTAGACCCCTACCTGCAGCAGGCCAAGCAGCGGCGCCGAACTCCTCTTGTACTTCCGCCTTCGAGCTCTGGAACTCGGGCTGGGTCATGTGGCCATTGTTGGTCACCTGACCCGGAAGAGGCTAACCCGGCCCACACAAGTGTGGGCAGGCGAAGCCGAGAGCGCGCGCGGGTGCCAGGAGGTGGGCGGGGCGGGGAGCGGAGGCCCCCGGGGTGGGAGCGGTGGGGAGGCGCGCACGTGGCAGCGCGTGGCGTGTGGGGAGCAAGGATTGCGACGAGCTAGCTCTCTTCCCGCCTGGTGGACTGAAATTCCTTTGTTTATTTTGCATTAACTTTCTCGAATACGAGTTGCAGTCCCTTTTAGAGTGTAAGCTCCATGAGGGTAGGAACTATTTTTGGCCCTGTCCCCAGTGCCAGGCCACGCAATAGGCGTTTTGTTCTTGGATGAAATTCTAGAATGAATGAATGAATGATCATTTATTTCAGAGCTTGCAATTTGCAAAACACTGTCCCTGTGCTGGGGATACAAATTAAATTAAATAATCGTCTATTAAGTGTCTGCTCTGCATTGGGGCCCCTAGGTGACAGTGCCTGGAGTCAAGAAGACCTGAGTTTAAATCCTACCTCAACCACCAGCTGTGTGACTGACCCTCAACAAGTCACCCAACCCATTTTGCCTCAGTTTCCTCATTTGTAAAATAAGCTGGAGAAGGAAATGACAAATCACTTAAGCTTTGCCAAGAAAATTCCCCAAAAAAGGGGTCAGGAAGAGTCAGGCACAACTGAAAACAGCTAGACAACAACAGTGTTAAGTTCTGGGGGTACAAAAACAGGCACAAGACATATTTGTAAGACAGTCCCACTTCTGAAGGCACTCACTAGTAGGAAAGATTGCACATGTAGAAGGTTTCAGCTACAAGAACATTCTATTTATTTTTAATTATATTTTTTAAAATTAACAAGCATTTATTTTCTATTTCTCCCACCTCAATGGGGAGAGGGAAATTGAGAAAAGAAAGAAAGGTGGTGCAGTGGATAGAGCACCAGCCCTGGAGTCAGGAGGACCTGAGTTCAAAGCTGGCCTCAGACACTTGACACTTACTAGCTGTGTGACCCTGTACAAGTCACTTAACCCCATTGCCTAGCCAAAAAAAAAAAAGAAAGAAAGAAAGAAAGAAGGGAAAACAAAACCCCCTATAGCAGATAATGCGTGGTCAACCAAAACACGTTTTCACATTGGCCATGTCCAAAAATGTACGTCTTGGGTTGCACCTTGGTTGCATCCTTCTGTCAGGGGGTAGGTAGCATTCTTCCTTATCAGTTCTCTGGAGTCCTGGTCATAAATGCTTCTTGACTGTTCAATAAAACAATGCCTATGAGAGGTGGTCAGAAATTAGACAAGTAAGAAAAGGAAGACAAAGGGCAGACTTTTCCAGGTACCTGCTGTTGCCAGGCATCATGACCCAGAGCAAGATGAAAGCTGCTTTCCTTATGAGACCTAGCACTTGTATAATTCCTGAAGGTTTGCAAAATGTTTTACGCCTATCTTTGTAATAACCCTGTAAGGCAAGTGCTATTTACAGATTAAGAAAGTGAAGGTTCAGGAGGTTGTAGAACTTGCCCAAGGTCACACTGTTAGTAAGCATCTAAGGCAGGATTTGTGCTGGATCATCTCATTGACTTAAACCTCTCCATCCACCTAGCACACATGTGCTGACCCATTTCCCAGCTGGCTCCTCTGGACTTCTCCCACACCCCTCTGTACTTAATTCATCACACCCCAGGAACCTCATCAGCCTGTAAGATCTCTTCAGCCTTGGTACTCACACTTTCAGTTCTGATTGGAGGGTGAAGCTAAGAATTCCTCCCAAAACCTCCAATTGAGGGGGCTGGGCAAGACAAATCTTCTTTCCCTACTCGGTAGCACCCCTTTGTAGTCCTCTCCCACTTCCTCCCACCCACCTGTTGTCTTCCTGGGTTAGATTGTAATTTCCTGTAGTGCACAGACTGTCTTTCTTTTTTCCTATTTTTATCCCCAGAGCATAATAAAGTGCCTGGCACACAGTAAATGTTTATCAGTTGTTGTTCAACCGTATTCAACTCTTTGTGACTCCTTTTGGGGTTTTCTTGGCAAAGATATTGAAGTGGTTTGCCATTTCGTTCTCCAGTTCATTTTACAGATGAGGAAACTGAGGCAAACAGGTTTAAGTGACTTGCCCAGGGTCACATAGCTAGTAAGTGTCAGCGGCCAGAATTGAACTCTGGTCTAAACAATTGGCAAAACATCAATTGCTCATGAATAGGCTGAGCCAATATAACAAAAATGATGGTTCTACCTAAATTAATTTATTTATTCAGTACCATATCAAACTATCAAAAATTATTTTATACAGCTAGAAAAAATAATAACAAAATTCATCTGGAAGAACAAAAGCTCAAGGATATCAAGGGAATCAATGAGGGAAAAAATGTGAAAGAAGGTGGGCTAGCCATACCAGATCTCAAACTTTATTATGAAGAGGTAATTATCAAAATAATCTGGTACTGGCTAAGAAATAGAGTGATAGGTCAATGAAATAGGTTAGGTAGAAATTACATTACAATAAGTGACCATAGTTATCTAGTATATGATAAACCCAAAGATCCAAGCTTTTGGAACAAAAAATTCTATTTGACAAAAAACTGCTAGAAAACTGGACAACAGTATGACAGAAACTAGGTATAGACCAACCTCTTACACTATATACCAAGATAAGGTCAAAAGGGTACATGATTTACACATAAAGGATGATACTATAGCAAAATAAGAGAGTATGGAATAGCTTATCTGTCAGATCTATGGATAAGGGAAGATTTTAGGAAGAAGATATAGAGAGCATTAGAAAATATAAAATAGATAATTTTGATTATATAAAATTTTAAAGTTTTTGCACAAACAAAACCAATACAACCAAAATTGTAAGGAAAGAAGAGAACTGGGAGAAATTTTTTTTTTTGCAACAAGTATCTCTGACAAAGGCCTCATTTCTCAAATATAAATATAAACACAGAATCAAATTTATAAAAATACAAGTCATTCCCCAGTTGATAAATGGTCAAAGGATATGAACAGGCAGTTTTCAGACAAAGAAATCAAAGCTATCTATAGTCATAAGAAAAAATGCTCTAAATCACTATTGATTAGAAGAATGCAAATTAAAACAACTCTAAGGTACCACCTGAAACCTACCAAAATGGCTAATATGACAAAAAAGGAAAATGTTAGATGCTGGAGGGGTTGTGGGACAACTGGGACACTAATACACTGTTGGTGGAGTTGTGAACTGATCCAACCATTCTGGAGAGCAAATTGGAACTATGCCTAAAAGGCTATAAAACTATGCATACTCTTTGATCCAGCAATACCACTGCTAGGTCTATATCCCAAAGACATCCAAAAAAAAAAAAAGAAAAAGGACCTATTTGTACACAAATATTTATAGCAGCTCTTTTTGTGGTGGCTAAAAAATGGAAATAGAAGGGATGCCTGTCAATTGGGGAAGCTGTGGGATATGATGGTAATGGAATATTACTGTGCTATATGAAATGACAAGCAGGATGATTTCATAAAAACCTGGAAAGACTGACATGAACTGATGCAAAATGAAGTGAACAGAACCAGGAGAACATTGTATACAGTAACAGCAATATTGTTTGATGAAGAACTCTGAATGACTTGGCTATTCTCAGCAATACAATGATCTCAGACAATCCCAAAGGACTAATGATGAAGCGTACTCTCCACCTCCGGAGAAAGAACTGATGTTGTTTTAATACAGACTGAAGCATGCTATTTTTCACTTTCTTTCATTTTTTTCTTGTATCCAAGTCTTGTACAAAAAGACTAATATGGAAATGTTTTACATAATTGCACATGTATAACCTATATCTGACTGCTTACCATTTCAGGGAATGGAGAGGGAAAGGAGGGATCAAGGGATAGAATTTGGAACTCAAAATTTTAAATAAAAATGTTAAAATAAAAAAAACCCCGCAGATCTGGACTCTGGAAGTTGAATCTTCCTGACTCCTGGCCTGGTGCTCTATGCACTATGGCACCACCTAGCTGCCTCTTCCCTGCCTTCCCTCCAAACAAATGCCTTTCCCTCAATCTGAACAGTAAAATTGAGAACACTAGCTTTCTTTACCCCTGCTGCTTTTAGTGCAAGGGGCTGGAAGGCAGCAGAGTGGTGATAGCCCCTGAAGCCAAATCCCAGCTCTGCCACTTCCTACCTGTGTGATCTTGGGCGAGCCAAGTTCGCTGGGCCTCAGTTTCCTTATCTATAAAAATAAGGTTTTTTGGCACGATGGCCTGTAACTCCTCTTCCAGCACATTCGCCCTAGGTAGATGGAGAAGTTTAAGTCAATGAAATGGATCGAATGCTGGACTTGAAGTTCAAAAGACCTGAGTTCAAATACTGCCTTAGATGCTTATAGATCTTCTTATAATCAGAGACAGTAGAGTGAAAAGTGTGGCTTTGCAAGGATAGCTTGGAAGCTTCCTGTAAGAGGAGTCTACAAAAAAAGGAATGTCAAATTTTTAACAATTAAACTTTTTAACAATTAAACTAACTTAAGAACCTCTTTCCACCTGTAATCAGAGATATGCTGGTAGAGGTTAACAACCAGCTCTTCCTTTTTTAAAAAATGTACCCAGGGCACACTTTTAAGTTTAATCTTCATTATTAATATTTTCTCCATCTTTTCTTAAGTCTAGGCAATCAACAAAACAATAAATCAATGTCTGATTTGTAGCATTTGCAAACGTCTGAGATGTAAACGCTCACCCTGATAATTTAACAATCAGCTCTGAGCTGGCTCCTGTCGATTCCTACCTATAACATACACTACAATATAATAATAGTTTAGATTTAGATAGCACTTTGAGGAACTCAAACCATTTTACCTGCACTATCACTTTTTTTTTAATGGGAGAGCCAGGGAAATGGCTAGTCTATTTTTTGGAGAAAACATTACAGCACATCTAGTAAACCGGTCCGGGGGCTCGGTGGCTAAACTGGTGGGGTACCAGTTTGTAATGGGTTCCATAGTTAGGGCAATGCTGTGTCTCACCTTTGTGAAGTCAGAACCAGATGACAGCACTGTTGTCCTCTTCACAGACACAGCCCACGATTTGCTTGTCAGTGATGGAAGGGACCAGGTTGGGCTTAGACCCTTCCTTTAGTCCCTGGAGTTGCCTTTGGGGCTAGCATATTGTATAGAACCAAAGCATCCCTTGCAGCCATCATAATCTCTCTCCAAGCCAGTAGCCTGCTCCCCCTCGGAAAGGATACCTCCTCCAGTCACCATGGAGTGAGTGGCCACCAAAGCAGGACCACAGGCCCTCAAGGCCTGGACCACCAGCACCCCACAATCCTGAAGCCCTACCTGCACTATCTTGCCTCATCCCTATAACAACCCAGTGGGAAAAGTACTTTTACAATTAAAAAAATTAATGTTCTGTATTTAAGGGACTTTTCCAAGGTCACACAGCCAGTAACTGGTAGAATCAGCATTTGAACCCAGGTCCCAGGCTCGTTCCACTATACCATGGAGACTTGTCTGATTATGGTCACCATGTGTTCCAAACCAGAAATCTGGATATGTGTTCTGACAATCAATATTCTTTTTGCACAGTATTTTTTAAAGTTTATTTTCTTTTTATAACTTGAGGAAATCTGGCAAATATAGCCGTCATTAATCTATTTCATCATAATTTGACTAGTAAGGTTTTCTGGCTTGACCATGTCATTTTTAAAAAATATTCTTTACCAAATAAAATGAGCATTTCCACTGAAAAGTGGAACAGAAAAAAGATTGCAGGTGAAATTGTGAATCTTGATAACATATAGCTTACTTTTCCTTTAAAGTATTTAATAAATTCTAGATGTAACTTTAAAAACTGTCTTGCTTGTCTGTTTCCTTTCTGCTTTTTTTTTTTGCATTTTTAAATGCTTCAATGACTTTCTTTTCTTTTTTTTACTTTTCCTTTTTTAAAATAACCTTATCACTAACCCCCTTCTCTCTCAATTCTTCCCATAAACTAGGAGGGGAAAAACTCATTTTAACAAATAGGCTTAATCAAGCAAAACAAATTTTCATTCTGCAACTTAAGTCTATCACTTCTCTGTCAGGAGGTGAGTAGCATGCCTCATCTTTTGTCCTCTGGAATCATGGTTAGTCATTACATTGATCAGAGTTCTTAAGTCTTTCAAAGTTGTCTTTTTAACATTTATTTACAATGATGCCACTAATGTATAAATTATCCTGGCCTGCTGATTTCACCCCCAAATAACAGTTCGTGCAAGTCTTCTCTGAGATTACCTTCCATCTA